ATAGATTATGTCGACACCAGAGAAAAGTTAAAATCAAATTATAAGATTTATGCTGTCGGCATATTCATTTAATTTTATGCATATAGCTAAATTTTCTCGGCAATCTGTTCACCGCGGCAAAAGTGACCAGTTTTCTAAAGAATCGCCCAAAATGGTCATTTTTGGACAAAATTGTAACTTTCAAGGCGTCTGTATTGAAAACGAAAGCACCGGGGACCGTCAGACTTTTACCAAATTTACCCCTTGGCATATAATCTATTTGGAAATATGGTTGAAAGTCTTACGGTCGACTTTGTTTCAGATGGGTGCTACAGCACAATTCAGGCTTTTCTGGATTTGGGCTCTTAGTGTACCATCTATTACAAAATAACGAAAGCATGTTTTGAGCTCGCGGTTGCATGGTTTTGTAGCTCACACTGTCTACTATTTATGGGGAAATCTCCAAGGTTAAGTAACCTGTTGTTACTGAATTACAAGAGTTTAAACTTGGCAAATTTTCAAGATGGCAGAATCTACGTTTTTCGGGGCTTTTTGTAACATATCAATATCTCAGCAACGATATAACTTTTTGATTTGCGCCTTTTACAAAAGTTCATTAAAATGTTTTGTCTACAAGAGCCCCCTACTTTGGAAAAGTTTTGAAAACATCGATTGAAGACTACTCCGCTGTAATAGGTTGTGGTCAGAGGTGCATAATGTTCCTCGTGCGTACCCGCGCGGGTGGGGAAATTTTTGAGAAGTACTATGCTACTACACCTGTTACACCAGTTTCTTCATTTACCTCACCTGTTATAACGCCCATCATACCTTCCTCTTTCTCACCATCAAATGAGCGTCAATTTCAACAGCAGCTGTTTTATATGAGCGAACAACTTTCGAACTTGAGCACCAAGTTTGACAGTTTACTTGGCACCAAAAGTTCGATTTCAAATACTAAACAAGCTAACGAAACGGAAGAATTAGACGTTATGTTCAATGAAATCAAAAGTTCAGACGATCTATACAAAATGAAAAATTTTGAAATCAACTCGCAGATGGAACTTATCACGTGTTTACCCTGTTCAAAACACAAAACGAACACACCAAAACAACTTCAATCAACAATAAAATCGTCATTCGGTGTATTGAAATTTATTGAACAAGATGGAGGCTACAATCAAACTCAAAGATTTCGTGACTTGAAAAGAAATATAAGATCTCATCTTTCGAATAGCTTGCATGTATGGTGTAGGAGAGAAGAGCAAAAGGAAAAAGAAGTGGCTGATGATCTCATGAGAAATAATGAGAAAGCTGGGTACAATATCGGGAGAATCGCATTATTCTGTATTCGTACTGGACTAGGTGGTTTAAAGTTTGTTGAAACTGTTAACTTAATCGATTTGTGTGGTGGTACTGTTGGAAATTATAGGTAAAGCTTCTTCTATGATTTTGTTTCTATGTGCACCTCACATTTGTCGTACTACTTAGACATAGTCGATGTATATATAATAGGCTACGAAATGTTATGGCGGAGGAGATGAAATTAAAGATTACAGAATACTTGGTCCGTGTGGATCCGATTATTAAATATCCCCTTCCATTTGGCATTACTTTTGACAAAGTAACTCTTTTGAAGCGATCTGTTCAGACAACGCTACTTATCACATTCGTTGATGGCGTTTTAACGCCAATATATTTACAATCACCACTTTGCAAGACAGAGATAAGTGGAAAAGAACTAGCCGATAAGTGAGTTTAGCGAAGCTATCTTAATGCCTAACCCTCTTTTCTCATCTCCTTTTTTCGACTACAGTTGCATTCACGTGATGAACTCTTTTGGTTTAACTAAAAAAATATTGCAACAGCAGCTCTCTGAGTGTG